TTTCGTCAGCTTTTGCAATCGTTACGGTGGCCAACTTACCATTTCAACTTTGTTGATATATCCAAATTATTTTGTTACCCCCACCGACGCAGCCCCAAACAGTTTCTTTAGAAACTATCAGCCTTTAATCATTTGTATTTTTCTGCACGAGTTCTTAATATACTAAACGTAACACATTTTTGTTTGTTTAATGTCACAATTTCCTTCGGTTAGTTTTTTTTTTCTTCTTAATTGCAATCATGTGGGACTTCTTATGTTGACTTTGTTTTGCTTCCAGAACTTCCTTGCCCTAATAAAATATATCTTCATTCAATTTTATGATTTAGAGACAACAAGTATCTTAAATTACACTTCTCTCCGCCAAGCATGGACTGTTGTGGATTGTAACTCTACAATGGGTTTTTACCCCTCGTTTATTATTTACTGGATGAATTCGGTTTATAAAACATTAACATATATCTTTTTCTTTGTCCTTTATTCCCAGACGGTCCCTCCTTTTCGATCTTTACACTAAAGATCAAATCCATCTTATGCCAGGTTACCCAAGAAACTCATCCGGGCTTCTTCAGATAGCGTTCTACATTCAGCAACCTGCTGGCCAATATGTCGGCAACGCATCAGTGCTACCACAGAGAATACTGATTGAGATTATAAGATATCATGAGAGCGACATTGAGACAGCTATCGGCGCAAATATCTCTGATATAGAAGCGTGGTTCAAACCAACCGCTCCACCATCAGTAGGGACAGCTAAACCTGATGACAAACAGTGGAAGTGGATTATAATTGGTGTTAGCGTAGGAGCAGTGGTTCTAATTGTGATCGTTTCCTTTGTCGCTTGGAAATGGTGAGCACAAAAAGACTTTCTGGTTTCTGAAACTCATAGCGCTCGTCACAGGAGATTATCGCGGTTTCTATGACACGAAACTGAATTGGTGAGAGCGCTCGCCTCCCACCACTGTGGGTCAGGTACCCATTCCCGGACTTTGTGTCATATGTTGGTTGAGTTTATTATTGGTTCTCGTCCTTGCTCCGAGGGTATTTCACCTTGTCCTCCGGTTTTGCTCCCTGCACAAAAACAAACATTCCAAATTTCAATTCGTCCTGGAAACAGAGGCCAAAAAGAGCCACCTAGATGGAATGTCCCATGCTAAATTCCCTTTATCGTCATTATAATCATCAAATTAGTTGGATGTATTAGTTCCCCAACCCCCCTCCCCACCAAAAAATAAAAAATTGGATGCCAGTCAATCCCTAATATTTCTTGGAGCCTCCCTAACAGTCTGCCGATGTTTGTATACACTAACGATTTTAAGGGAGGCACTGTGAAGACAAAACAGTACACGCCTAACGGCATAACACAGTAACACCAGCCTATCTCTTGAACACGAGACTCATGATCCGGAGATAAAGGCACCATCTTTAAGGTTCCAGCTTTCTCCATTGTTTCCCTTACCACGTAAAAACAAATGAAAATCAAAAGATTTGGATCGTCATTGTGAAGCTATTCTTCAATCTCTTTATTTTAGTCAGAAGAAAAAGGACAAGAGGGTCGTGATCCCCGCTGATGCAGATGACACACCTCAGCAAAATATCACCATGAAAAGTTTTCATCAGTCTGTTGAGAACTTGCAGTTAGCACCCAACCAGTGAAACGCTTTTTTCTGCGGTAAATGTAGAAAGGAAGCCCCTCTCCCCCCCTCCCCCCCCATAGCTGCACGTATCAGGGAACTTTTGTTGTTAAAAGGGAAAAATGTAAGTAGTCCGTAGATTAGTGATCGCCTTTTCAGTCGTGTGGTGGTAACCTTTTGTCAAAACTCATTTTAGAAAAAAGCAATTGGACGATATAATATCTTACGCGTGATCAGCAAGTTGGTTGTACATTTTCTTAGGGTGGTATAGACGAGGCACCGGTTGTTCAAAGGCTGGATAACACTATCCTCTGGGTAAATTGCAACCAGCGATAAGACTCAGTTGGTATGTTTTTCAGAACTTATTTGCTGGTTGACGATTTATCCGGTGGATAATACTATCTTGCCTTTGAACAGATGAGGCCAGTGGTATAGTCGGTTTCTGTATATACATTTAGAGACCATTTCCATTGAGTAATTTGTAACTTTCTTACATTGAGTAATTTGTTCAAAATTTAGGTCGTGTTTAACTCGATTCAACCGTTTCAACCACAGCCAATAAACAGTCTTGTGTCGTCATTCCAACTGCTTCCTTAGCCGTGCTTAGTACGCTTACATGATTTCTTCTACTTCCTCCGTAAATGGCGCTCCTGAAGGGCATAATTCACCTTTTTTTTTCTTGTTTATTGCATCTATCAAGGCTGGCAATCGGAGTCCACGCTAGATTTTAATATGCCCGCGGAAACGAAAGCGGTTGCTACCATGTTTTTTTCTAACTTTTCATTCAACCTGGTTTGATACCGTTTGAAAAAGTTGATCAACCAATTCAACTTCAAAAGTTTTTTTCCACATGCAATTGAGCAGGAAACAACCCATGCAAGCCAGCCAAACTGAAACGGTTGATTTAAATAAAATAGTGGTAGACATCTATATTTATACGGGATAGCCCCTTCAGTGTAGTAAATACTGGTATCAACGAGGGTCCTGTTACCCATCCATCACACAGTAATCTCGTACGTGGGAAATTAACGTCTCTTGCCCCTAACCCTGCAGGAGACGGGACCTCCATTTAATCGTCCCTATCCGAGAAGACTAGAATGTCTAATCATTTCTTGATTTTATAGAAAGGTAGCATATTCTTCTCAATTATTTTAAGACCCTGAGGTGTTGGTCCGGCCGGGGCTCGAACCCTCGACCTCCCGCACAACAGTCCAGCGCTCTATCCATTGAGCTAACTGGGAGGCGGTTAATGGTCGAATACGAGTTAATGATCGAAGTCATCTAGCTGTCATAGTTCAAAATAGGATGGTTGACTCATGGTTTCACTCATGGAAATAGAATAGCTCAATAAGTCGAGCAAATAACTTGGGGGTGATTAACTTGTCTTAAGAGATTTCAAATAAAGGTTCATTTTTATCAGCACTGATAAAGGGGTATTTAACTGATATCTTGAATGATCAAATTTCAGTTTGCAAACATAACTGCTTTCGCCCGTAGATAGACCTCTGTAGTTTTATTTTAAACTTATGAGCGGCGCTCGCAACTCCTTCCTTTCGTTTTTTGTTGTGGTCGATGCAACCGATTTTTTTGTCCCATTCTTTCAGGGAGCTGGCAACGGTTTCGTTTCTTTGAAACACAAATTCTTTAATGATCGATTCGATCAAAAGGAAACGTTTTTTAATTATATGTCACTCTGAATCATGGAGAATTTTGACAAATTTGGCTTGAATTTGTCAAGTTTCTTTTTTGTTCCATTCTTTCAGGGAGCTGCGAATTATTTCGTCACTTTGAAACACAAATCCCTAAATGGTCGATTCAATAAAAAGGAAAACGTTTATTAGTCATATGTCACAATCATGGTGAATTTTGACAAATTTGACTTGAATTTGTCAAGTAACTATTTTTGTTCCATCCTTTCAGGGAACTGCAAATTATTTCGTTACTTTGAAACACAAATCCTTAAAATGGTCGATTCAATAAAAAGAAAACCGTTTATTAGTCATCTGTCACAATCATGGTGAATTTTGACAAATTTGGCTTAAAGTTGTCAAGTTCGAATTCGTCATAATCGATCCTGAATAATACTTCGTCTCGTTTGATTCTTTTTTGTTTCACAGGTGTTTTTTTATCCAGGCGAAGAATATACGCATCATTTCAGGTTTCGTTGGTAATTAATGCAGATCAGTCGGAGGCTTGTCCCTTCTTTAGAAATATTTCTTTTGATTCGCTTTTTGCTTTTAAACGACTCAAATTGGCGCAATAAGGGCCCCTTTCAAATATTAATGGCGCACACAACAAACTTTCATCGGAAACATACTGCAATTAGCAAAATTGGAATTAGTTTACATGTGCCTTTTGTCTTGCTTTTATAGTTAAGAGAGATGACAGCAATATATTCTACCATCTCACGAGTCAAATTAAAAATAAAAATGATGACACTTGCCATGATGGAAATTAAAAGGAGAAACACTTCGTTTACAGTACAGTAATCAGTCCGTCAGGAGATAAAGTATGAAAAATAACACTTTAGAAGAAGTTTTACCAATCAAATGCTTTTTTCTCGAATTTATTGGAACTTCTACAAAACTCCAAGACGCAGTGAAAATATTTTCATGCGTGTTTTCTTCTCTTCTTATTGTTCCAACAATTTTATTGAATGGATTAGTGATTGCCACGATAAGGAAGACTTCTTCTCTACACACACCTAACAACGTTCTTCTTCTATGTCTCGCCTGTGCGGACTTCGTCAACGGTCTCATATCTGAACCGTTCTCTGTTATTCACTTTTCCGGCGAAGTTGCTCGAAACTCTCGTCTTTTTTGTATTCCAGGAGTTATCATGGAGTCCGCCGCTTGGTTCGCGAGTGGTATTTCAGGAACGACTGTTCTCGCTTTAGCTGTCGATAGATTCCTTGCTGTCCACATAAGTTTGCGCTACAACGAGATTGTCACAGTGTCACGGACTTTAATATTTGTTGCAATCCTATGGCCGGTGTTTACCATCAATATATTTGCGCGTTTGATAGGAGCCCCTGACGACCCCTTTATAGCAGCAAATGTCGTAGGAATTTTATTCACTCTTTTCGCGACGATGCTCTTCTATTATAAAATACTGAAAATTTCTGGTCACCACAGGGTACAGATTGAAGCTCAAGTTTCGTCGGTTTTACAGCTAAATCAGATCCCAACACGATCGATTTTAGAGCTAAAAGCGAGGAAGTCATTGATAACGGCAATGTACATTGTGGGCATATTTTGGTTGTGCTACTTCCCTTTTACTTGTGTTCTTGTCAGTCGCCTTATTTTGGGAGTCGTCACACCTTCTTTAAGGACAGCGAATGCTCTACGCGCAGCGGTAGTGTTTGCAAATTCTGCCCTTAATCCTGGACTGTACTGCTGGACAATAAAAGAAATCCGACGAGAGTTTCTCAAATATGCTCGTATAGCCAAACATGATGTGAATGAAGTCCGTAGATCTTAGGCTTGTTGACCAGTAAAACATGTAATTTACTGGTAAATTTTTATCTCAGTTTCAAAGCTTATTTGTTCCGCTGTGAAACATTTACAAAGTACTACATGGTAGATTGCCGTACGCTGTTATAACCTGCGAATAATAAACTGTAGAATGGGCTAATCTATGGATAAATTTGTCTAATTCTGCCAAGCGTTAAATAATCTTGATTTAAAGTTTTCATTTTTGACAGCGGGACAGTCATGTCTTCTTTTGCTGATTAGCTCGGAAAGGTAATACATTTTCTAACATGTTATCTGCTTAGTTTATACTTCCAATTTTTTCTACTTTGTATTTTTCCGCTTGCATTATTACTTTTAACATGCGGAGGTTTTTTTTTTAATACCAAAACAAGCTTGCTCGTCAGCTCAAAGCTGCGTTTCAATAGAGACGGCTTCTGCCGTTAGAATATGAAGAACTGTTGTAGGATTGTTTCCCGTTTCTCATCACGATGGCGAGCAGGGATAGCGCCATGATTTTGAATATTAATTATCAATTCTGGTGTTAAACTCCGCCATTCAATCGTTGATGTACATATTCTTTAAGGGGGACATTGAGGAACGAAATTAACAGATTCGTCTGTTGTGTGAAGCTTAACAAAGGAGTTCCCGCCTGTTAAAACCAAACTTTGTATCCTCTAGAGAGACAAACCTCACATAGAGTATGGAAAATTCCAACAAAAGTTTATCAATTTTCATGGTAATTTTCAAGCTTATTTTTCATACTCTAACCGTTAAAGAAGACCGATTTTGAAATTATGCTTAACATTAAACTTAAAAGTGCAACTGATGACGTTACTGTGTAGAACTAAAGCTAACTTTTTTGAAGAAGCAAGTTGCATTTGACCAATTATTTTCTATCTTGAGGATAGAAAGAAAAAAGAAAGTCCTTCATTAAATGAAAATGAAACTGGGTTTCTCAAAGGTCCCTTATATACAACTCTTGCTTTGCGTGCATATCATTGGAGGTTCAGTCCCTTTAGATCTTGTCATTTACTTGTTTTTTATTTTGCTCAACTGATGAAAGTGAAAAAAGCTTCTACTTGCCTGTCACCCATGCGGACAAGCAGTTTGATATTTTTACCGGCTTTCACCAAGCAATGGCATATCAGATGGCTGGCAGTCTGGAAAAAGTCCCCCGCACAGCGTTGTAATGCGCATTAGAACATTGCTTGGAAATGCGCAGTAGATATTATTATTATTATTATTATTATTATTTTTATTATTATTATTATTATTATTATTATTATTGTCACAGAGAAATCAACTGAATGCTACATTCTAATCAGGCAGCACTGGGTGAAAACCGTAACCTGTGAGCCATGGAGTAAAAATTAAATGTACATTAACCAATCCGAAGAAGCTTTTCCGTTGTGTCTACGGTCCTCCTTCTAACAGGAACTCAAACTGCCACCTTGAAAGTCCGGGCAATATTCAGCGTGCCCGAGAGCACTGCCCTCTGCATCTTTCGCAATACGTCAGGGCTTCTGCCTCCCACCAGCTCGTGCATCATGACATCCAGCCCCCGTGACCACCACCCGAGGGCATCCATAATGATGTTATATTACTTCACCTCGTAGCCTGGGAACGTAGCCTAGTTCCCAGCGAATGGGTCTGTACTTCAGTGCCTTCTCTTCATCCTTTCTTGTCCGATTGTTAACCCACGGGCAGCTCATTTCCAGCGTCACAACTCTCTTGCACATATAATTACACAATGCGTGCATCCACCCTNTACGATTATAAAAGCTGACGTTTCGAGTGTTAGCCCTTCGTCGGAGCGAATAGGGAAATTGTGGGTTGTGTGTGCTTTCAAAGGCAGAAAAAGGAGCTAGGTGATTAATGGCATAGCTCCTTTGTGAGTTTCTTGCCGCTGTTCTGAATGCTGTGGATTGAAAAATGCTAAGACAAAAGTTAGTGGTCGCAGCAATCAAAATACAAATGAATAAAGGCTGATAGTTTCTAAAGAAACTGTTTGGGGCTGCGTCGGTGGGGGTAACGAAATAATTTGAATATATCAACAAAGTTGAAATGGTAAATTGGCCACCGTTACGATTATAAAAGCTGACGTTTCGAGTGTTAGCCCTTCGTCGGAGCGAATAGGGAAATTGTGGGTTGTGTGTGCTTTCAAAGGCAGAAAAAGGAGCTAGGTGATTAATGGCATAGCTCCTTTGTGAGTTTCTTGCCGCTGTTCTGAATGCTGTGGATTGAAAAATGCTAAGACAAAAGTTAGTGGTCGCAGCAATCAAAATACAAATGAATAAAGGCTGATAGTTTCTAAAGAAACTGTTTGGGGCTGCGTCGGTGGGGGTAACGAAATAATTTGAATATATCAACAAAGTTGAAATGGTAAATTGGCCACCGTTACGATTATAAAAGCTGACGTTTCGAGTGTTAGCCCTTCGTCGGAGCGAATAGGGAAATTGTGGGTTGTGTGTGCTTTCAAAGGCAGAAAAAGGAGCTAGGTGATTAATGGCATAGCTCCTTTGTGAGTTTCTTGCCGCTGTTCTGAATGCTGTGGATTGAAAAATGCTAAGACAAAAGTTAGTGGTCGCAGCAATCAAAATACAAATGAATAAAGGCTGATAGTTTCTAAAGAAACTGTTTGGGGCTGCGTCGGTGGGGGTAACGAAATAATTTGAATATATCAACAAAGTTGAAATGGTAAATTGGCCACCGTTACGATTATAAAAGCTGACGTTTCGAGTGTTAGCCCTTCGTCGGAGCGAATAGGGAAATTGTGGGTTGTGTGTGCTTTCAAAGGCAGAAAAAGGAGCTAGGTGATTAATGGCATAGCTCCTTTGTGAGTTTCTTGCCGCTGTTCTGAATGCTGTGGATTGAAAAATGCTAAGACAAAAGTTAGTGGTCGCAGCAATCAAAATACAAATGAATAAAGGCTGATAGTTTCTAAAGAAACTGTTTGGGGCTGCGTCGGTGGGGGTAACGAAATAATTTGAATATATCAACAAAGTTGAAATGGTAAATTGGCCACCGTTACGATTATAAAAGCTGACGTTTCGAGCGTTAGCCCTTCGTCGGAGCGAATAGGGAAATTGTGGGTTGTGTGTGCTTTCAAAGGCAGAAAAAGGAGCTAGGTGATTAATGGCATAGCTCCTTTGTGAGTTTCTTGCCGCTGTTCTGAATGCTGTGGATTGAAAAATGCTAAGACAAAAGTTAGTGGTCGCAGCAATCAAAATACAAATGAATAAAGGCTGATAGTTTCTAAAGAAACTGTTTGGGGCTGCGTCGGTGGGGGTAACGAAATAATTTGAATATATCAACAAAGTTGAAATGGTAAATTGGCCACCGTTACGATTATAAAAGCTGACGTTTCGAGCGTTAGCCCTTCGTCGGAGCGAATAGGGGAATTGTGGGTTGTGTGTGCTTTTAAAGGCAGAAAAAGGAGCTACGTGATTGGTGGGAACATGGCAACGAGAAAAACACGAATAAATTAGTGGAATGAATTGACAAAGTGTATGCTAGCGGAGCCCCATACCAAACCAACTTTAACACATTTGACTGATGCCCCTTAACTAAGCAATTTTATTCTAGATTGAACTATAATAAAAATTACTTTAAGTCCTATATATCATCTATTAACACATTAGAAACATCAATTACAAATTGATACTCACATAATTTATTCCATCGCCCACATTACTTTTTTACTAATGTTATCAATTCGACCATTTTCTTCATCTTCTTCTCTTACGCTTTGTTTGTTAGTGCGTAATGCGCAGACTTTGACCCTAAAAAAGAAAACCTTAGCTTGTGGAGAGTACACAAAGATTTACACGTCGGTACACTCTCTTCACCTCAATCGTCCCTTATTTATATCATTCATACAGCCGATCTCAAGCCGATATTGGCGCATAAATATCAATATCGACAGTAAACAATACTTTGACTTCCCGTGTCTATAAATAAGCGTCTAAGAAGCAATTAAATATACGAGTCTCTAAAAATTTCGGACAGAGAGATCTCACGCCAAAGCTGTTTCAGTGGAGGAGACGACGAATACTACTATTTTTCAAAATGACGGAGCTGCAAGGGACCTCAGAAGTCATTTCGTTAATGGGAGCAGATCTCGACAGATCTTTCCATCTCCTTTCTTTTTATCAAGCCACTGGCCGCAAGGAAAAGTCACTTTTTCTTGGCTCGTGAGATTTGTGATGTCTACTTTCTCCAACATCCAACCGGCTCCAAAACCTTTGTTGTCATGTTCTATGCGCAAGCGTGTGAGCTGGCCAAGATCCAGCGCTTCAATTTTGAAATCGTCCACTTTTCCTCTCTCGAACAAGTCGACGAACTTTTTGGTCAGCTGTCTCTGCCCAGTGTCACCGTTCGCGCCGTATAAGACAATGGAGACATTGGCATCCGTACCTGCGTGTGCTACGTCAGCGGTAAAGACTTCTACGAGATACTGGACGGGTTGAAGTTCTAAAACAAGAAGAGAAAAATCAAAAAAAGAGGTTACGTCGATGTCGGATAGTCCCTTAAAAGTATGAAAAACAGTTTAGAGTTATATGAATTACTGGTGATCTCTGCTGAACATCTACCTATGCCAACTGTTCAAGAAATCTCTGTCGTGAGTGAGACCATCCGCTCCTCACACAAAGCTAGAAATATTGGTGTTACTTTTGACAATCATTTTCTTTTCAACGATCATGTTGCAAGTATCTGCAAATTATCTTTTCTCCATCTCCGTAATATCAGCTATATAAGAAAGTACTTGTCATCGACCACTACTGAAATACTTGTTCATGCATTTGTCTCTTCAAAATTGGATTACTGTAATTCATTACTCTATGGACTACCGACTACCAAGTAAAATAGTTACAGTACGTCCAGAACGCCGCTGCTCGTCTCATATCTCTTTCAAGAAGACATGAACATATTATGCCTATTCTGTTAAATCTTCACTGGCTTCCGATACATTATCGCATTTTGTTTAAAATTCTACTCAACACGTACAAAGCTCTTAACAATCTTGCACCATCGTACATTCTTGATCTACTCACACCTTACGTTCCAGCTCGTCAACTACGTTCATCATCTAAAAATCTTTTTGTGATTCCTCATTTTAATTTGAAGACATACGGTGCAAGATCCTTTTCCGTAGCTGCCCCCACACTCTGGAACACTTCGCCGTCCAATATTATGAACAGCTCCTCAGTGTCCGTTTTAAAAAACAAACTTAAAACTTTCCTTTCTAAAAAAGCATTTTTATAATTTACTATTGTGTCGCTCTTGTTCAGCGCTTTTGAACTTTGAGGATACTAGCGCTATAACTTTATTATTATTATTATTATTATTATTATTATTATTATTATTATTATTATTATTATTATTATTATAATATTTGCGCAACGAAGAGAAATCCTACGTTGGGACGAACTCTGAGGCAAAATAATCTGTAAATTCAAGAGGATCCCTTTAACCAAAGTATCAGTTACCTCTAATGGTCGCTGACTTTGGTTTCTCTGATGACTTGCATTCTAACCGAACTGCATCATCCTTGTCATCGCTGAGAGGAATCCACTGACGGCAAGGAAACACATATCTGCAATTAATGGAAACTGAGAGATTACAATCTCACAAAATAATGTGATGTGAACGCGCCTTAAAATTTCACTTTGCAGCTACGTTAGATAAAAATACTTGTATCAGTGAAAGAGCTGAATTAACTACAGGAAGTGACTACACGAAAAAGTTCCTTTCTTGAAAGCAAAACAATATTACAAGCAATAACAACAACACATAATGATTGCCATCAAGTGCTTTTTCACGTATGCCGAGTGATGTTGGTTACCAGTTGATACTCCGTAACTACTTTCGATGAAGTATGCTTCATATGAACTGAGAATTTTTTTAAAAACATGAACAGTCCCAGTTAAATGGTTTGTCGTCAACTCAAAAAGTCCTTCGCCAGAATTAAATTTCCATTTTTCCTAAGAAACAATTCAAATTATGTTAAGCAGCGTCAGTACAAAGCTTACTTTTCCACTGTTTCAGGGTTGGTTACAATCACTTCATGCAAGAACCAACCAGTCTCTTTCCCAGTTCCCTTGACATTGGACCCCTGCCGTCTTCGATGTCCCAGTGTCACGTGAGTAAGATTTCCAAGATTTTTGGTCACAAATTTATAAGTGTCCGTTTGTCCTCTGCGTAGGACTTTGTTCTTTGCGCTATTTTCTATCGGGTATTCCTGAGATTTCCTTTCTTCTCCTTCAAGCACGATCCATGCATTCTGGGTTGTTCCGGCGTGTTGCTTGTCACTTGTGAGGAAAGTAAGTTCATAAGCTGCAGAAAAGAAGATTATAAATGGAATTACCAGAGGAGTGTTTATAGTTGAAGTGTCAGTAGATTTTGCTTAACTGATTTACACCACATCAAGTACTATTACAGCTGCAAACATCATTGGAAACCAATTAAGGTAACATGATCAGTTCTTATATTTGAAGCAATGCTGCCTAATTATTCGTAATAAAAGGACATAAGCTTAAGTTCTTCAATCAGCCAGTTGGTGGGCCCATCCGTCGTAAAACTACGTGTCATTCCTTCACACGTTATAACTAAAAGAGCGTAAAAGGGAGTTTAAAATTGGTTTTCAAGTTCATAGGGAGTGGTCTAAGCAAGGTTTCTGATGAGTCAGACATGATATGTAGTTCTTGTATACACGATTACAAAAGAAGGCTTTTTTAAGGAGTACGATACTCAGTCGCCTCCTTCCTAAGAGAGCAGCTAATACTCACTCGTAGGCGCTCGTGAGTCGGTACTCTTTTTGGCATTTGCGCATGTCAGCTCTCGTACCAAACTTCCGTCGTCTTTATCCTTGGCCAACCACCGATTACAAGGAAATAAGTATTTTTCGCCATTGGATTCGTTAATGATTTCCACACTTTCAAGAAACCAGTTTGCTTTGAGAAATTTATTGTCGTGCCAGATGCGGACTTTAGTAAGTTCACCTACAAAGAGAGAATTTCGTGTAAGCTAAAATCAAGGCCGAAGAGGGAAATGATTTAACGGGTTTATCCTGTCAGGAAGGCTCTAAATCAACTTGATGCAAACAGTTGTAAGAACACATAGCCACAATTCTTACAAACTCAACCCTCTAGTTCCAATCAAAGAAATACATTCCAGACGCGTTGTAAAGCACTCACACACAGCTTCCGATAAACTAGGCAAGTCATTCATCTGACTGAAATTGCTTTGACATGGTCTAGAACAAATTTTGTAGAGCCTTCTAAGACACCTGGCCGTCTTTAACATTTCGCGGCCAAACCATATTGGGCAACTTCTACTAGCATAAAAAAGAAACTTCTAGAATGGTCAAACTTAACACTATTCTAGAAGCTTCTAGTCTGGATGTCACATACGTCAGGCATGGACATTTTTTCGTACTCCATTTGCTTTAATTTCATCCGATTCGGTCTATGAAGAAGAGAGCTTCCTTCCGGTAATCAGTTTATTTTACACTCACCCAAGTTGAGGAGATTCTTGAGGCTAAACACGTCGGTATGGTTCTTTTCAAACTTGTCTTTGTATGTTTCAGAATTTTTCAAAGCCAATTCTCCGCTGTCTCCATGTTCACCAAAGATTACCATGAACACGTTTGCATCAGTTCCGGCTCCCAGCACATCGCCTGTCTTCACGTTAACTTTATATGAAGTTTCTATTACGAAAAATTTGCGCAATTAGTAGCTAACCTAGAAATGGGACCAACTCTTTCACTTGTAACGAAAAATGTTAACGACCACACACGATCATGTTGCGAATTTCACGGAAACGTAAATAAAATTCGTGTAACTACAACTCGCAAAATAAAGCTAAAGAAAAAAAAGAAAGAAACCGTGGTCTCGTTGAATAAAAATTAAATTTTGGTATACCAATCGTGATCATCATGGTGATTCTGGTTAAAGCATGAAAAGAAGCAGTTAATAAAGGCAAAAGGGGAAAACTATTGTAGAGCATTTGATTTGTTAAAAAGTTTGATGGATGAGTTTTGTTCCCATCGAATTGAAGGTAAGCATCATTAGATTCTCAGCTTTTAAATTACGTATCGTCAAGATGGTCGAATTGATTGTGCAGGGATCACAGGGGATAGACTTAAAACAAAGGTTGGATATTCAGTCCTCTTTCATCGGATCAACCACTAACTGTAGGCTCTGAAAAAGATATTTACTTGTGAGTAATTCTTCTCCGTCCACTTCAGCCGGAATCTCCTTGACAAGTTTGCCGTCTCCTTCTGTTTTAGAAAACCACTGGTTTGCCTTGAAAACGCTCACACAATGTGTCTCCATGTTTCGTATGATCATCTAGTGTAAAGAAAACAGAGAACTCGATGATGTAAATTAAGATAGTAAATTTTAAGCTTGGTGATTTTTTAATGTTATTCAGTGAATGACATACTAATTGTGAAGAAGCATCACATTTCGACGGTCCTATCGTAGCAGTATGCAGGAAGTTTGACACTATGGTCCAGTTAAAACTGCGTAGCCTTCTACGGTCTATAGCTGCGGTCTCCTATAGCTTAGTGGTAGAGAGTACGAAGTACGAGACGGAAGGTCGTAGGTTCGAAACCTTCACTCGTACGAATGCTTGTATCTGACAGAAAACGTTACTCGTCAGTTCATAATTCATACCTTTTCCAAAAACCAATCAGGACGTGTGCCTTTACCATCGACTGCAATCCTGACTTTCAGCAGTTTTCCTACATCATCCAGGTCCATTCTAATCAGATCGACTCCTCCTCGTTCAAACCGCGACTCGTCTTTATCGAGTATAAACTCTGGAGTGGTGCCATCAGTGCCAAACATTGTCATGGAGATGGTAGAGTCTGTTCCAGCGGATTTCACGTCCCCTGTGTACACCTCCATCTCATATTGTACATCTGCAAGGAATAAATTGACTTCAATTCCATTACTATCGACTGTGGATACAGAAAATTTAGCGCAAACTAAAGCAAATGGTACATTATGTTTCTCAACGTTATTATCAGCGTTTTTACTCGACGTATTTCATGAAGGGTCTTCGAGTAACCAGTTGGTTACTTGAAAGTCGGTTACTCTGAAAGGTTCGCCAATGATCTAGGTTTCTCATGGAGTTTGACTTCACCTTCCTCGTCTAGCGCTCATGAAAATGATCAGCCCCTCATTGAATTCGAATTCCGGGGAAGGGAATGTTCTACGTTTGAGAACTGGAATGGCAAATATCAGAAAGACAAGACTACGTAGAGGCTCAAGTCGATTTTTTTGAGTCTCAGTGAGTTCAGTTAAGCATTAGATGCAGTTTTGCTGTCTGGCTTTCGTTTTATTTTGCCTTCTTGAGTGGGGAAAAGGGATGGTAGGGTCAATTTAGCATTGACGAGCGAAGAGAACTCAAAGTTTATTCCCTCGCCGATGTCGCATTCGCGCGCTTACGCTGAAAACAGTTTTAATACAAAAATCTCAAAATTGTATTTCCAGTAACTCACGTGGTTTGTAAGTAACCAGATGATCATCTGACGCAGAGAGAACGCGTACCACCTTTCCATCCTCCTTGTTCTGTGACAGCCACCTGTTGCACGGGAAGAAATACTTCTTACCACTAGTTGGTACATCCACCTCCACTTCCTTCACAAACCAACCGCTGTTCGCTCCGTAGCCGTTGTTGGATAACTCGACCTTCTTCACATCTCCAACATCTACAGCTTCCACCGAAAAAGTTTCGGTAAGGCCTGGAGTGAACCCATCTCTCTGGATCAGCACTAATGGTATCTTTTCTGTGGCCGCTTCACTTCCTATCAAAACTATGTGCGCCTGCGCTTTGGTGCCAGCGTCTGATTGGTCACCCGTGGTCACGCGGATGGTGTAAGCAATAGCTGTGACAAAATAAGCGAAGTATAGTTTTCAACCTCTACTGAGCAAGCCATGGAAACGTACACAAAAACAAATCATTCTATAGAACATATCCAAAGATAAAATTCGTTAAAAAAATCTTGTCACCAGAAAACTGAAAATAGAACGAATATAGTCAAACGATTAAAACTGTTCAAAGGCTTCAGAACATATTGGAACTGCAGCACAAGCATCTCACTTCAACTACGAAACAGAAAATTCTCATCATTGACATTAAAATAGATGGCATGGCAATAAGAGAGGACTGATTTTTTTCGAGCAAGGAGTTGACTTTACCTTCACGAGCAGCTGCCGCTTCCTTATCACCTTGGCCGAATTCTTCCATGAAAATGGCATCAGCTGTTGCACTTCGGTTTGCCGTCGGTAAACTTTCGTTGCTTCGTCGTAGAGACCCTCGGCTGCTTGCGAGGCTCCCACGACTACTTCGTCGGGGACTGCTTAGGCTGCTTTGGCTCAAAGATCCCAGACTCATGGTCCCAAGAGTAGAGCGTTCGCCCTGAAAAAGAAAAACGCACAATGCTCTTAGTTAACAAGGTATATTCTACATAAACTCCCGGCACTTCAAATTTCGGGTAATACGTGGGGTTCACACAACCTCCTACACTAATTTTCGCAGACACTTAAAGGATAAATCGAGTTTCCAGATGGGATTTGAACCCACGACCCTCCGTGATCTAGTCGGATGCTCTAACCACTGAGCTACAGGAGACTCTATGGTGAGCAAGGGTCAAATAGTGGGGGCTGGTTGGCTGCATGTGATGCTTTAATGCATATGATGCTTTAATGTGACAGCGTGATGGTGTTAGTGAGCTTCTACGCGCTAGCTGATGTTTGGCTGTGTAGCCGCGTGATGCGGTTCCAGCCAATACCCACTAATTGACCCTTGTTCACCATAGAGTCTCCTGTAGCTCAGTGGTTAGAGCATCTGAGTAGATCACGGAGGGTCGTTGGTTCAAATCCCATCTGGAAACTCGATTTTTCTCCTCTATTAAAAATTGTTTATTTCATCTTTACATGCTCACTTAAAGGATAGAGCGCAAAAACGGGAGCGCGCGGGCGACCACGGTAATAAGGACGGAACAAATTCTCTAGTGCGCCCATCCCAGATAGGAGATGTCCTAGGTGTGAGGCATAGTTCATATCTTCATTGTTAAAAAAAAAAACAATTACTAATCGTGTTGTATTAAGTATACCTGATATCCTTTTACATAAAACGTTCGTTGGATTTTCCCCTCTTCTTTCTTTTTCGACAACCACCTCTCACAAATAAACGGATAAAGTTTGTCCGTTTCCAAATCTCGAACTTCGACTCGGTCAACAAACCAGGATGGACCTAAATTGGCATTGTCGTGTCGAAGCTTCACCTTGAAAATATTCCCAAGTTCGGCGGCTTCCAGAGTAAAGATGTCTTCCTATTGAGCAAGGAAGAAAACTTTCAAGACAGATTTTGCAAAAAAAAAAAACAAAAAAAAAAACAAAAAAAAAAAAAGGCCTCGCTAAGTTTAAGAAAAGTTATTCACAAAACAATGCAGAAACCGAAAAAAAGTTGATCGTGACAAGTTATTAGACAGCACCAGTTTTGAGATGGAAAATACTTGGTACGAGTGACTTACATAAAGTTGCACTTTGCGTATGAGAATACATGCGTTACTACTCAGTCAAAAGTCGAATACGATCTACTACATTCATCATTTAATTATCTTCTATTCTGGTATCTCATAAATTTGTCATAATTAAATTCAAATGCACATACACAGTCAAGACTATTTTGACACTCACATGTCCCCTTTCAAACTTGTTAGTGTAGGTCTCTGACTTAGTAAGTTGCCTCTCCCCTGTGTCACCATCATCACCATATATGGTGATGAAAACATTAGCGTCTGTTCCCGCGCTTTTGACGTCACCAGTAAAGACATGAACTTTATACTTGCGGACTGAAAAGGATTTATGAATCGTTAGTTTTTTTCTTTTTTTTTTTTTTTAATTCTTAACAAACAATATATCAAGACGAAGGAAAAACAACAAAGATGAAACAAGAAACAAAAATGAACGAGTGTAAAAGGTCTAAAACATGTAATTGTGAACAGGACTAAAAATTCTCGCTTGGCCGTAAAATTCCGCAAAAAAAAAAAAAGAAAATTCTTCTGCGGAGAACAGAATGAGTTATAACAGCTATAAAATGCTGAAATAATTAGAAAAGATGGAAAGATTACTGGTGGTACAGTCATTTGAGTCCCAGCCAAACCATTAAGAAAGATTCATCCACAACTCTTAATAGCGATTACTCCGCTTAATATAAGAGAGGCTAGGATTGGAGAGAAATGGCTCAGATTGGAGACCTGAGCGGTTCAAAGTGCTTCCCTCCAAGATGGTGAATGAACGAGAACCAACAATAGGCCATTTTCGACATATCAAAATTGTAACATGGATCTGGGGCTCAAAGTGGAGGGGGGGGGGGAGGGAGGGGGGATAAAGCAAAATAAATTCACTATTCATTCCTTTAACCTTAGTATGACTTCTTTTGTTTTAATCCCCTAAGCCTTGGAGCCAAGTTTAAATTTTCACATATCGAAAATGCCCTGTTGTATCCTCTTTTATTTTCATGACTTCTTCCAACTACAACCATATGTGTTTCTAATGTCTGTTAGCAGAATTTTAGTAAAGTTCCTTTTGTTTAGAGCATACTTACGTTCCAAAGTTTCTTGATCGACTTCCTTAGTTTCCAGGTCTCCATCTTTCGTCACAGATTCCTCGATAACCTTATTAGGAATCAGCTCCCGCACGACAGATCCATCGTCTTCATCCTTAGCCAGCCATCTCTTGCAGGGGAAGGTGTAAGTTGTGGAAGATTCGCCGTCATCTTTCAAGCGGCGTACCTCAACCTTATCAAGATGCCAACCAGGGGTCATACCTTTATTGTCGTGTCCGATTCGAATCTTTTCGATCACATCACCGACATTGTCGAGCTGCAGAAAAATTGGCAACCTTTTAGATAGAAAATTAATTGTAGCTTGTCTCAACCGGTGTTTCCTTTTTCGGCCACGAGACTGTTCAGAGACCTTTTACTTTCAGAGTTCTGAGCAAGCTTGTTGAATATTTCGTTCATATTGCCCTCCCCACATTCAAGATGTTGATAGTCCGAACCTCCTAGATTTGCTCATGCCAAAACTATCCTCATTGATCTTGCATTGACACATTGTGGTACCTACTAAAAACAATAAGTATTGACTAAAAGAGCAGATGGTGTTGAAGGCGCGCGCTCATCGGCTACTTAAACTCCGGATATCTTTTGCGATTCACTTCCAAGCAACGCGCGTGGGATTTGCGCCCGAAAAATCTTGTGGTCATTGCAGGAATAAATGAGTTAAAATCGTCTTTTTGAGCTTTATCATGTAGGTGTTTTAGTATATACTAAAACAACTATTCATCTCAGTGTCGGCGGTTAGGCAGTAGATATTTACTGCGACGCCTTGCGGCTCAGTAAATATCTACCACTTCGGTGCGTAGTTGTTAATTATTATTTTTACCACAATTGGCAATAGGGAACGTTTTATCTCACGTCGCCATTGTGTTAAAAAACAAATTGATGGTGGTTTAGCGTGATCTGCACTCTTATCAACGATATTCGTCAGCAAAGTGGTCAAAATTCGTTGCGGACTCAATCGGCTGTGATGATGAATATCATTGTCGATAAGAATACAAACCACGCTAAACCATTGTCGATTTGTGAAATACCACACGGGTGAATAGTGCTTGTAGAAACCAATTCCCCGCCTCGCCCCAGTCCGAGCGCATAAATAGTATAAATAGGTCCACATTCGCGCGCGTTATTAAAATTGCAAGGACTTCGCTAGTTCAAAGTCGAGCAACGTTAGTTCTCTACGCAGTATTCCCAAATCGTCAGATAATGTCTCCTATCTTCGCTTGTTTCACATTTCATCCTATGTTATCCGTGTTTCCTATGTTACTTCATCGTTGTAATTAGCTGTTCCGCGCTTAATGTATTAGGTCTGTAACCTTCGTTCTAGAAACCACTGGCAACTACATGTCTATTAAGAGTTCAAGTTCATTAAATTTCTTTACGTCTTCGAATTTTTGCTGGTGCGTTGTTAACAGTGCTCTTCATACCGTTGAACGGCTAGTCCGGAAGGAATTAACAAGTACTGTTCACCTTCAAGCAGTCAAAGAGGCAAAATCGCGCGTCAACAACGTAATTTCCGACCACTTTAATTTAATTTAATTTATTAGATTCGCCGACAGGCAGGGACACCGCAACAGCTTGTGCCAATTACTGCGGGCCCAGTAAAACCCACCCATCCCACCCCAGGGGAGGACATCGACCACACAGTAATCTCGTGCTTGGGAAATTAACGTCTCCTACCCCTACCCCTGCAAGAGACAGGGCCTACGGTTTATTCGTCCTTATCCGAGAAGACTAGAATATCTATCCATTTCTTGATATTATAGAAAGGTAGCAAATTCTCCTCAGTTATTTTAAGACCCTGAGTGTTGGTCCAGCCGGGGCTTGAACACTCGACCTCCACTTTTCGGTATGTTGGTTTCCGCATAGTATATACGAAAACAACTACTCACCTCAGTGTCGATGAAAGTGGTGGATATGTTGTCACCTCTACTTCGGTGAATAATTATACACGAAACATTGCTTCCAAACCTAATATACGCACCTCCTTAACAAACTGATCAGTTGATCCTCTCTTGAAGGAATCCTTTTGTTTCTTTGATGTATCTGCTAACAGAACCTCTTCAGTGCAACCGTCAGATCCGTATAACACGATATAAACACGGGCTGAGGTGCCAGCTCCCATCACATCGCTTGTGAACACAGTTATCTCGTATGGCACATCTGAAAGGTTTGTGGATATATTAGCGACGTCCACAAAATCCAAACGAAAAGTCGTTTAATAAATAAAATCCAGTCGAAATACGCAATGATCAGGATCCTTTAGAATGAGTTATAACAGCTATAA